TGTACGGAGGGTGTCGACAGATGCAGTGAGTGTTCCTCTAGCGAGGTCAGGGGAGACAGTGGTGACGGAGAACGTTGGCGGGAAGCGTCCTGTTTGGGCGTTTCTACTGGCGGTATCGGCAAGTCAACAGTCACAGCAGGTGCTTTTGAGTGGCTTCTAAGCGTAGGCGCCAGTTCGTCATGTGGGGATACGCTCGGAGATACAGCGGGAGCGGAAAGACCAAGGTCTTCAGCGGAGACAGCAAGGACGGTTGTTGCGAAGTTCGGCAAATGTATGCGTCACTATCGCTCGGTAATCAGCAACGGTACGGCAGCGGCACAGATAACGGTAAGGGAAATGTACATGCAAGGTGGACATTCAAAAAAAAGTGTAAATCTATCCTACAGGGTAGGTAGCAAACACTCATATCAAATGGTAGAATGAGACCAGCGTGTATACGTCGAGTAGAGAACAGAGAGGTACAAGATCAGAGAGTACTCTATCTAAAAGGGATGTCCGTCACGTGAATAAATAGGGCACGGTCGATCAGTAAATACGCATCAATAGCGCGTGTCAGCATCACGTGTGATCCATCAGGATTACACATATCAGGCAGCAGATTATCACAGGATTTGGCCTGAATGGGCATGACTTTCAGGAAAAAGCGAGGAAACAGTGAATTTTTGTTCAGGAAAGCCATCATTTTCACTTTCCCACCTGCCAAATCTTGCAGGTGGTGGAATGTCCCAAGGATCGATTTGCCATCAAGATTGGTCAGATTGTTGAATCACACTTTTTGGAGCGAGTTCTCTCTTGTTTCCCTCAAAATTTGGTCAAAGTGTGCGCTTAGGGGAGTAGAATATGGAAATCTAATTTTTATTTCACAGAAAGGATGTCGAGATCCAAAACTCGCTAATCACCTTAGGGTGTCCCAAGGACCGCTGGATCACTGTATACCTGATTCGAACTCATGGCTCCTCAATCGATATCTCTTCTATACTTTCTCCAACCACTATGACACTGCATTGCACCAAATGCAAAACACCATTCTTCAATATCTCTGCCTCACTGAAAAGCTCTCCTATTGATCCACTTCTCATCGCCAATGATCCTGCGGCGCCTCACAAAGAAGAAATTGCATGACAAGTTATCACGTCTTGAAAGTCTGTTGTAGCGCAAATTGATGGGCTTGTCTCCGAGGTGGACCTTATGTTGGGCTTGATCAAATTATGCCGTAGAGAATATCTGAACCACATTCAACTTCATGAGAATGTCCTCTCCAAATTTGCAAGACACATCCCAGCAGATGTTCTGTCAGAAATATTCCTTCATTCAGTCAACAACTGAGATGGCTATAGTGAGCTCCCAGAAGAACCTTGGACAGTTTCACAAGTTTGTTGCAGCCGGAGATCAGCAGCATTGGCCATGCCCAGCATTTGGTCGGTTTTCCCTCCATTCAGAGATGGTCCGAACAAGGGCGCCTGATATCTATTTTGACTCCAAAAAGCCCTGGAATGGTCTGGCATGGTGCCAATCAACATTTCATTCCAACTTTCAGACTTTCGTGAACACCAAGTCTGGAAAATCACCCACATCTTCACCCCTCACTCCAATCACTTCAAGAGTCTTTCTGTATGCTCCAACCTCCAGCTGTTTCAACAATTTTCTTCTCAGATGACCGGCCGCATGGACGCTCTCATGTCCCTAACACTTTTCTTGTGGGATACACCAGACCCTTGGAGTCCACCCGTGTCTCTCCCAATCACAATGTTTGTGGATGTCCTCTCCTTATGTGAATTCACTTTCAATATTAGGAGTCATGCTTCAGCCGCAAAAAATTGGATAGCATTACCCTGGCATCAACTGCAAAAACTCAGATTGTTGGGGATGATGACCCTGAGATCATACTCTCAATCCTTTGTCAAACCGTTGCACTAGAACAATGTATCCATCAGCAAACCCTGATTTTTTGAGGCTGAAAATGTCGAAATTGGGCTTCTATCCAGAGCTGCACGGTGCTACATAGTACTCCATAGAGCCATAGTAAGGGTTCTCTTCTGCATAGCAATGGTGGTTGATTACATCAAGGAATGCGTTAACACATTTACCACAGGAATATCACCTTTCAATGGCATGTCTCTCATTGAGCTCCATATTGATTCAGGGAGGCCAGCTGTCATAGAGCCTTTCCTGAGCCATATCACTTTGCCCTCACTTTGTAAACTCTCATTTTATGCAGATGAAATAGACCTTCAAGGTCTAGCTGACTTCCTCTCCTGATCATCTTGTTGCCTTACATTCCTCAATCTCAGATGGGGAGATTTTTCAGGGGATTTGACAAGTCTCCTAACCCTTGTTCCATTCTTATCAGAGCTCGGCATCCCTGTGAAGGGGCTTCTTGGTATATCACCTGGAGAGAGACCTCCACTCCCCGAGCTGCGCCACCTTGGTATCGTGTTAGACAAGACCTCCACACTTTCTGCAAGTAATCCATCAACTCTTCACATTGTTGACCAAAGTGCTGCCCCATCTCTGTCTGTGATCATTGACCTGACCTCCCTCAAAACACTGGTTCTTTCTCTACCTATCTATCAGGGCAGCCATTATTCCATGCTCTTGAAGGGCGGTCTCAGTCCCTCTATGATTGGGCTGTGCCATTTACACAAGAATCGCAACTTGATAGACTTCTCAGTGCTGGCCTTACAGAAATTGAGGTACAGTCATCCACCGGCCAATGAGACACCACCGGCTAATGATACACCTTGGAACACCATGAAGGACTCAACTGTTTGCTTTGAAAAAATAACCCCATTCTCTATAAGTCTTTCATACACTGTGTATAAAATTTTATGGGTTTTGGTGAAGTCAATGCCCAGTAATAAAATCACCAAAATATTCATTTTGGTTGATTTTGTCACACCAGTCACTGGTACAGCATCTCTGGCTGTTTCTGCTCACGTTTGGTTGATTTTATGGCATACAGCTGGTATAAATTTATTTTAATGGCTCTATTACACTGATTCCAAGTGGTTTTATGAGAATCCATGGGCTGGTTGAGTTCTGGGATCAAATTTAAATTTCAGTGTATCAAATGATGGTGGATGACTGTAGCTGTTCAACACTCCATTGTACTACCATTGGTCTGCTGACAGACTTCTTTTCCTCTCCAGGCCACTACCATAGAAGAAGCGTTATCAGCTCTAAGATATTCATCCTTATCACATTCAGGCTAGTATCCAGTTCCCTTTCAAAACCTTTAGGGCATAACTTTCTATCATTTATAGGCAGACTCCATTCTTGATAAATTAGGCCAGCTCCTCCTGCTTCTCAACCACAATCATGAAGAGATATGTTCCCACATCAAAAGGTTATTATCCCAGCACACAGCAGCAGTGATGGCCTAGTCATCAGCAATTCCTGATTTCGTTATGTGTGCTATATGAGGGTACGTAGCATTCCATAATTGGGGGGGTATCCCAATAGATAAGGACATGCATTACAGTGCTATGCCATGTTATGTAGCACTACGTAGCACAACACACTGATAAGGCCGCCAATGGCTAGCCTTATAATTTTGCAATTTCCCTACAATAGCAAACCCACACGTGCTATACAAAGTGTTATTAGTGAATGACTATAGACTTGGTCTTCATTATAGCACCTAGTCTTTAAGTGAACTCGATTGGTTAATGAACGTGAGTGTGACCATATTCTATGGTGCAAGGTCAGTCATTTGTATTGAGTACACTACAAACCATCCTGAGACTAGTGAAACAAACCACAGAGTCGCATACCAAAGCACAGTTAATTAAAGTCTACTAGCTAGGTCTAATCCTATACTAGTCTAGCGAGGCAGAAACAAAGTCAACAGTGACTACCAAATAATAGCACGAGTGTACTTAGATGCGCGCTGTACTAAAGTGGAGTGTCTTTAACACAGTGACTACAAATACAAAGTGATAGTGGAGGCATTCTTATAGACTGGCCCTAAATAAGGGTAGTTGTTGGATCACAAAGACAGTTCAGAACGGACTGTCTGACCAAGTCTATTAAAAGACTACAAACTAGTTTTAGTCTCAAGACTAGCAGAGGTCACCTCTAATGCGTGCAGCACGATTGGTTCAGTGTCCGGGACTAAGATGACCAGCAATAGGGGGCATACCATATGCCTCGGTTGCCAAGAATAGCTCAAGTGATAAGCTCACCACATGCTTTTGTGGCACAGCAAGCAGAACCAAAATTGGTCAATGTTACTGATCGCAGGTAAACCAGATTAGAACTTGGTGGCACTGATCAAGACTAAAAACACACATGGTCAAGGCCGTGGCGTGACTCCTATCCAATATATACCACATGGTGCAACTCTTGGAAATGACTCGTTTGTACCTGATACCCCTATCTCTCAATGTATTTAAGGACCTGTTAGTTAGTCTCTAAGTTTTAAGCAATTTACACCCCACATTTTGGACCTAAAATCTGAGTGCGTTGTCAGACTCAAAATATGTTTTGATAAAAGATCGAACTAAGTTGACATCATTACAAGTTGGAAAGTTCACATGAAATGTGGTCATCCCTTTACCAATCAATCACTCGTCCATTTCATCTCTTATAAGCAACATTAGTCAAGATTATTGGTACACTGCGTAGGCACCAATTGCGCTGAATAACCAATGGAGCTATCATCTCAAGGATCTATAAGCGTGAACAATGATGAATAATGAGTAGAGTTATCACCTCAGGAGAAACATAAGCACTTGACAGAAGCTGAGTAAGGTGGTAAGTAATTACTAGAGAAACTAAGGAATTGCATGAGTAAGCACTCAGAATC